CTCTCTCTCTCTCTCTCTCTCGCTCGCTCGCTCGCTCGCTCGCTCGCATGCTCTACCGCGCATGTCAGCTGATTTCGGATGGGCCAACATCTCCTGTCCGGTCCGGAGTGCCAATGACAAATTCGTTTTTGCAGGTGTGATGGGATGGTGTTGGGACGTTTGCGACCACCGAACAGCAGTACCTATATACCTCTTTTTGTCGGCGATGGCATTGAGCCGTTCATTCATCCGCAGCGCCATTGACCTTCTTATTCATTTATTTAACGACATTTCTGTACATTTCACATCAAAATCACTGCTTGTATTTGATTGTATACATATGAGGAAACATATAGCTAATGAAACGTGAACATGACATACGGTATGTAGTATAGTTGTTGTCGACTGAGATGACTTAGACAAAATAATGTGAGTCCTGAGGACTCTTCAAGTCTGAGTTTTACACTTAGCGCGTACCAATCAAGTCACACCAATTTTCCAGTCCGCTTGATCTACGGTCATTCCGAAAAGTACCTTCATTTCCCTTTGCTCGTTGGCGCGCTCTCGACCATCAAGAAGGGCTGGAGAGGAGTTCAGCGGCAGGCGAGCATGGCCTCCTCGACGTCGGCCAGCCGCTGCAGCCAGGGCGCGTTGTCGATGCCCTGGCGGCGGCCGCCGTACAGGTGCGGCAGCACGGCGGGCGGCACGTGCTCGTGGAGCGCCCGCCAGTCGCTGCCAAACACGCGAATCTGAAAGCGCCGAGGAGCGTTAATGATGATGCACACGGTGGGGGCGTTCCAAGGGTGTTCGCATGGTGTTCCAAGGTTGTTTACGTGGTGTTCCAAGGGTTTTTGCATGGTGTTCCTTCCTAGGGTGTTCACATGGTTTTCCCAAGGTTGTTTGCATGGTGTTCCAAGGGTGTTTACATGGTGTTCCAAGGGTGTTTGCATGGTGTTCCAAGTGGGTGATAACATGCCGTTCAAAGGGTGTTCACGTGGAGCTCCAACGTTGTTTACATGCTGTTCTAGGGGTGTTCTAAGGAGTGCCTACCACGTGGTGTTCCAAGGGCGTTCCTGGGGTGTTCCCCGGCCGGCCCTGCAGGCGCCGCGATTAACTGTACTGCTGCACATAGCGAATAATGAAAGGGCCTGCTTTCCAATATTTACCTTCCTGCGCAGCTTCTCGGCGAGGAACGGCTTGAATAAGGCATAGATGGCCTCGAAGCCGAACGGCTGGTTGACGACGTGCACCCCGCGGCACCTCATCGGGAAGCTCTCCTGGGGGGAAACAAGCAGCAGGGTTTTCAGCAGGCGTCGGTACAACACTGCAAGAAATGTATATCTCTCATGACTTTTGTTCTCCGGTCAGTCTCCTGTCATTTAATGAATGTTGTTGGCGTTTTGTCCGGACGTATACCTGGGTGAGGCTGACGGCCGTGCTCACAAACGTCGGGGTCATCATGCGAATGTGCTTGAGGTTGACGCCCTGCAGGTCGAGGATGAGGTGCACGCCGGACACCTGGGTCAGCGGGTCCAGCGAGCACGTCTCGAGCAGCGTGTAGTACTGCCGCACCACGTACATGGGCGTGATGTGGCTCAGGTCGAAGTAGTCTGGGATAGAGGTAAAAAAAAATGGTCATAACATTTCGCCTAGATCGCATACTCGTTCGTGAACTCGTGCGCAAATGTGTTGCCGTCTAGAGATTTTAAAATCCGATTTTTTCCTGAAAAATTTGATACTTTTTCAGAACAAAATAGGAAAAATGAAATATTTCCAGAACAGTTGAGAAAAAATCAAAATTTTCAGTAAAAAATTACCAGGTTAAACTAAAATTTCTCGAGAAATGAAATTAAAATCCCCTTTTCTGTGTGGTGGTTTTCAGGTAAACCTAGCGCTGGCGCCTGTCGGGTAACACCACCGGCTATACCCACCGATCTTGGCCAGGATGACGGGCGCCTCGAAGTGCCCCCTGTCCTGGAGCACGGAGATGGCCTTGGTGTCGTGGAAGCGGCGGTGCTTGGAGGCGGCGGCGAACCGGCAGACGTCCGGGTAGCGGCGCCGCATCTCCCAGTAGCGGCGCACCTGCACGTCAAGTGAGTAAACGTCACACACGACACCGTCACGCGACATAACGTCACGCGGCGGCACGTCACCCCTCCGGCTTACCAGCTTGACAGTCTTCTCCACGTTGAACTTGCGCGCGCGCAGGAAGGTGAGGTAGAACGACTCGTCCTCGCACAGGTCCGCGTGGTCCGAACCCGTCTCTAGAACGGCAGTGAAACGATAGGTTTATTTTAAAAACAAAACAAAACAAAGCAAACTTTTGGTACGGGATTTTTGAAACGGCGGGAATAACCACCGAGTGAATGCTTTTATTTTCAAAGTGTCGCAGGCGTCGGACACTCCTTGAAGTTGCACTTGCACAATCTGACATCGCATCGCCGTCGTCGGGGATATTTGTTTGTGGAGCGTATAAGTCTATTCTATACATTTAGGACTGTCGCCGTTATCCTTATCACAACACAACAGCGCGGCGCGCGCGCACACACTCACACACACACGTACATGCCAGGACCATGTGTTTCCACCCCATCTGGCTGGCGCACGCGGTGGTGCTCGTGCGTGTGCTCATGAGTTTGAGGAGGGGGTGGGGGAGGAAGAGGGGGAGGGGGTTGCTTTTGTCCCCGCGTCCCCGCGTCTGCGATCGACATACAGAAACGGGAGAGAGAGAGAGAGAGGGGGGGGAGGAGAGAGAGAGAGCGTGAGCGTGAGCGTGCCTCTCCCTCCTCTTGAGTCGCGAGGCCGTGGTAGCTAGCGAGCGAGGAATTGAATTACCGCGCGCTCCCCGCGGGGCCGAGGCGGCCGAGGCCCGCGCCGACGAGGCACGACGTCTCGGCTCGGCTCGACGACATCGCAGGCCTCGGCCTCGCCGCGGGAGGGGGCGCCGGGGGCGCACGGCCACGCCCACTAATAACTGTCGCAGGCTCCATCTGGCCTGCCCCACGGCGCCCCGCCTCGCCCCGCCTCGCCCCGCCACGCCACGCCACGCCACGCCACGCCACGCCACGCCACGCCACGCCACGCCACGCCACGCCACGCCACGCCACGCCACGCCACGCTCGCCACGCCACGCCACGCTCCGCCACCTCGAGCCAAAGCCGCGGAAGACGGCGGTACGGCGGTGGCGACGCTGGAGGTCGCAATTAAAAGTTAGCGCCTGGCGTTGGCTTTTCACGCGGCGGGCGTAACGGAGTCACCCCCACCGGGCCGCTCGCGACAAGCTTCGAGAGGGTCTCGTGGGGTCGGCCCACCCGTCTGACCTGCAAGCTCCCTACTCTACCATCGCGGGCTCCCTGGCGGGACGAACGCAGGATCGCTTTCAGGTCACCAACTACTCGTCATTATTTACGAGGGTGCGGGTACTTTTTCCATGATCCTCGAGGGGGGGGGGGGTACATAGATAAGCTTTTTGAACCGTTATTTATGAGTTTTTAACCGTAAACCTTAACCAGGAAAATAATACAAGCTACGGGGATACATTTATCATGGCCTCCCCATTACCATAGCCGTCGCGTGATAAAAGTATCCCCCTGGAAACACTCTACACGTCGTACCTCGCAGGCGTTCCCGCAGCTCCTCCAAGCGGGCGGGCGTCTGACTCGGGTCCTCGCCCAGCTCCAGGCGCGCCTTCTCGGCCCACTCGGGCGGCAGCGGTTGCATTGCAGGGGACTCCTGCGGCTCCTGTGGCTCCTGTGGCTCCTCCTGTGGCTCCTGTGGCTTCTGCGGCTCCTGCGGCTCCTGTGGCTCTTGTGGCTCCTGTGGCTCCTGTGGCTCCTGTGGCTCTTCCTGTGGCTTCTGTGGCTCCTGTGGCTCCTGTGGCTCCTGTGGCTCCTGTGGCTCCTGTGGCTCCTGTGGCTCCTGTGGCTCCTGCGGCTCCTGCGAGTGTTGGCTCAGGGAGAGCCCCGACGACGGGGTGGTGCTACTGCAACCGAAAACACAATCTTCATAACTCTCCATAATATTTTCCCGTAAAAAAGTAATTTGTATGTTGTTGTTTTTTTTTTTCTCAAATTAATTACATACTATCTTAAAGTACTTACGAGTCCCAAGGTTTGACTTTCTTACCAGTCGGCCGCGTCTGCCTACGAGTCCCTCCTGTGCCTGGCCCAGGCCGTCCCGATATGGTGCCTCCGCTCGGCTGCGCAGTCCCGCCCGTGCGGCCGCCGCGGTCTGTTGTGACTCGCGGCGCCTAGAGAGAGTCGCGCCCGGCGCCTCTCTCTCTCTCTCTCTCCACGTCTCTCTGTTTCCCTGTCTCTCTAGCTCTCTTCTGCCCCCTCCCACATGCGTGGCCCGCCAAGGGAT